TGCCTAGCGGCGCCGGCACACCGGGTTCTAGTCCCGGTTGGGGCACCGGATTCTGTCCCGGTTGCCCCTCTTCCAGGCCAGCTCTCTGCTGTGGCCAGGGAGTGCAGTGGAGGATGGCCCAGGTGCTTGGGCCCTGCACCCCATGGGAGACCAGGAAAAGCACCTGGCTCCTGGCTCCTGCCATCGGATCAGCGCGGTGCGCCGGCCGCAGCGCGCCGGCCGCGGCGGCCATTGGAGGGTGAACCAGTGGCAAAGGAAGACCTTTCTCTCTGTCTCTCTCTCTCTCTCACTGTCCACTCTGCCTGTCAAAAAAAAAAAAAAAAGTAAACACTATTGGGAAAGTTTTTTATGTATAATTCTTTAAGTTTTTTCAAATTAAATCATTCTAGAAAAGCAAGCATGTTGAAAAAAATAATGATAGGTGTATGTTATGTGTTATGGGAACAAGAAAAAAAAGAACATGAAATAAATAAAACACATGGTTTCCCATTTTCTTCAAATTACTCTTTGAATTGAGTTTGTTTTGCTTGATTCATTTACAGTCTCTAGCTCTTCTCAATAAGGCTTCAAATGATCCCAGCACAATTTTCAATGCTATTGTCTTGTTTGCTCTTCTGTCTGGTTTGCAATGGGCAGCTGCTGCAAGGTCAGTAACCCATTCATTTAGTTAGCTGTCTTAATTTGAGGGACTACTATTAAACTAGACATAAGTTATTTTTCAGTAAAGGAAGCTACATTATATTTCTGTAAGATCAAATAGTAACATATTGCTCAAGGGAAGGGGGAGGGATATTTCCAGTACAGCCTAGAGAAAGTACTGTTACCTGTCCCTTCAGTTTCCAACAGTACCGTGAATAATGGGTGCAGGCCTTTGACGTCCTTTGCTTCCTCACCCTCTTACTCTTTCCTATCCTCCTCTGCTTCCCTACACTGCTGTAGTAAGTAATATTCTGTGCTATTCACTTTATACAGCTTGTTTCTAGTTCTTACACAGTATGGGAAAATAGTTGTCATTGTTCCCATTTTCTGATAGGATCCTGTAACACGAAAGTATAAAGAACTTGCCACAGTCAGACATAAAGCTATATTCAACTTACATATATGTTTGGCTCTGAAGGGCCAAGGCAGGTGAAACCAAACAAATACCACAGTGAATTAATTCTATTAACAAATGTTATATTTCCGACCATCAAAGAATAATCTGGAACAATAATGGTAACTAGAATCCTTAAATCAGTACAGAGGTTGATTATGAAATAGCCGTGTCCTTTTTCTGAGGAAATGCATATTGGAGTGCTATTAAACACCAGGCAAAATGATTCAGCTTGATTAAATTCCTATGATACTGGGGCATTATGATGGGACCTTGTAACATATTAAAATTATGTGGTGTATGTAGATATAGGGACAGTAATCAGGTATGAGCCTGACTGACATTCTTTTTCCCGTGCCATCTGAGAGAGGAAATGGCTATTGCAGTCTGGCAGATCTGACTAAGCAAGGACAAGGGCTCTGCCATCACAGCCCAGTGTTGTGAAACTACACAGAGCTTCTAGCACAGTGCCGGTTACACAAGACATGCTCAGGGGAAGTGGGCACTGCTGTCATAGCTGTTATTCCTACTATTTATCAGCAGTTGGAGGAGAACCCGTCTGTGGGGAGCAACTGGGAGTAACTCGGACTAGACTAAGTTACTGGAATTAAGACTTATTCTATGCATCTGCTCTCCCACAATATGGCGCTGGGAGAGGAGGAAACAGCTTCTACATAGCTGCCTCCAGTTCAACCAATAAACTGTAGGACCTGCTCCTGATTGGAAGAGAGCAGCGTACTCGGCGTGTGGGTAGCAGAGTTGGGATTGGTGGAAGAGGACTATAAAGGAGGAGAGAGACAACATGCACCAGGAACATCTAAGGGGAACATCTATCTGAAGGAACACCTGTGCAGCCCCCGAGAGAGCTGGCTGGCGGTGTGCCGCTCCCCCGCGGAAGTGGGGAATGTGGCAGGGGGGAACCGCCCTTCCATGGAGGTGGAAGGGTCGGTAGCCAACCCGGGAAGAACCAGCAGCAAACCCGGGAAGGGCCGAGCAGACCAAAGAACAGCGCAGGGTCCTGTGTCGTTCCTCCACGAAGACGGGGAGCGACACCCATCTCAATTCACCCTGAGCAGTAACTGTGTCATCTTCCAGACACAGAAAGAAGGTTGAACTATTTCCCTTATCTGCAATTTCTAAGCCTGTCAACAATAGCATGATTGTATTGGGAAAGACAAACCCACAAACCCTACAGAAAATAGAAACTGCAAAGAAGCAAAAGCAGAATGCTGCTGACCCATCACCACCCTGTGCACTTTGCTCTTCCAAGACACATTTTAGTCCAGTGGCCAGGTACTTTTGACTTAAGAGGGCAACATTTTCATGGCAAAATAATTACATTTGAATAGGATCTACTGAGAGTAAATGAGAAAATAAGTGAGGAGGAGCCTACAACCATGTGTAATTAAAATTCTTCAGTTCGCTAATCCTCATACAGGTTGATTAATAAACTGTGCTTTCTAACGTGTGAATACATGTATTCACTCATCAAGTCATCATACACACTGCTAAAACAACTTGCTTCGCTCTTAAATACTGTGCTTCAAAGAAAGGGCAGTACTGAGTCTCACTCTAACTGTAACTCTTCTAAAATCATTGAGTTAAGAATATAAGACCAAAGGCTCTGGCTTCATCAGACAGAGTGAGGATCATTCGCGGCGCATCACTTGTGAAGTGTGGAACTCTGTGTGGTTTCCTCAGCTGAACAAAGGACTCACAATAATACCTGAGTGGAAGTGGTGCCAAGTGTGCTAATTTTCATTATATTCAAGTTACACAGGAAATAAACAACCTAGTACTACAAGCATCCCATAACTGTAGGTTATTTTTTACTCTTCATTTTAATATTGTGTTGCCCTCTGAGCAACTCAACAAATATATATATAAAAAAAAAAAGTAACAGGGAAATCTCTTTCAAGAACAGTATTACAGAAATATCATCAGAGGTTAGATCATAATACTTAATAAAAATCAATAATCAAAAACTTCCAATGTAGGATATGAAGTGATTTCAAAAGTATGTTCCATTTCCATAACCTATCCACAAAGTATCACTAGGGCAGCTGAAATCATGATATATTAATTCTTGGGGGCCAGCACCGTGGCTCACTTGGCTAATCCTCTGCCTGTGGCACCAGCATCCCACATGGGTGCCGGGTTCTAGTCCCGGTTGCCCCTCTTCCAGTCCAGCTCTCTGCTGTGGCCCAGGAGGGCAGTGGAGGATGGCCCAAGTGTTGGGCCCCTGCACCCGCATGGGAGACCAAGAAGAAGCACCTGGCTCCTGGCTTCGGATCAGTGTAGCTCCGGCCATAGCAGCCATTTAGGGGGTGAACCAATGGAAGGAAGACCTTTCTCTTTGTCTCTCTCTCTCTCTCACTGTCTATAACTCTACCTGTCAAATATATAAATTAAAAAAGATATACTAATTCTTTGCTCTCTAATGTTTGAATCCATATAATATGTTTCTAATCTACATTTTCTGTTTTCCATCTTTATGGAGATATGTTTAAAATATTAGAATTTACTTTTAAGGACTGATAAGTTGAGTTAGGCTACTTGAATATTTATCTTGACATTCTCATGCTGTGAGTCCATTTTTTTAATGAAGAAAAATATAAGTAAGTTCTTTACAGCTTTGTCAATTTGGGAAGAAGTAGAAACATAGTAAAACCATCTCTTCTTTTGGAAAACATTAAAAGGCAAAAAATGATCGCCACGTATAGAGGATAAACTACACACGTGGAGGTGAGATTCTAAGACACAATTGATTCTGCCAGGATGAAAATGGAACAGAACCAAGAGATTATAATGAGAATCATTTTCGTACTAAAGACCCCTTTAACAATGAGTGCTCAGCCAATCCCTAGTGTGATCATTACAGGCTCATTTTCCTCAATCCTGTCCCACAATAAAGGCTTAGAAGCACAAGCATTTTAAAATGCTCACTTTCTTACAGAAAATTCTTTACCTTTTCTCTCACTCTCTGGCTTTCTCAAGAGAGTTATTTCCCATGGAACAAGGAGAACAGTTCGGAGAGCAAAGCTGTAAACGTTTCGAGAACAGAGTGAAGCAGGCACTAGAGAACGAGAGTGTTGACAATAGAAGAGAAGTTACCTTTGGGCACTTGCTCCACGCCCCCCACTCAGACATGACGCATTCACTGGGACACGGGAGAGAGCAGGGCTGGGTGTCAGCGGGAATTTCATCCTGATTGCACAGGGTGCTATCCACTGTCCCGCCTTCACTATCGGCAGTATTCACACACCTGTAAGACAAGACTTCAGATAGCTAGCTTGCTTACATCAGTGGAGAGGAAATAAAACAGTCACGATTTCCACAGTTACTGAACTCCCAAAGACAGTAAATTTAAAATAAGAGAAGCTAGGGACAAAAAAAAAATCTCTTCTTCAGCCAGTGGGCCTTTCGAACGATAACCCACTACACAGAACCCTTACTCAGCAGACCAAAAACAAACAAAACAGACTACAGACATCTGTAATACTTGAAGAACTCCGAGTATCTCTTCTCAGTTCCAGCACTGAGTGAATCTTCTTTTTATTGTAACAAATCTTGAAGACTCTCCTTTGAATAAACCCATCCCCTTGTAATAGCTTGAGGCTCTATATTTCCCATGATACTCTTAACATTTCCTAAACTTTTTTTCCAAACTTTCCTCCTCTCTGCATTCCCCATCTCCAACACATGATCATACGAAAAAAACTGAATTTATGATTCTTTCAGGTAGTCTTTGCACTTAAGCAAGGCATTTCACTACTTATCAGAAACCAAAGGGTAAAGCGCACTCTGCATGAATGCACACACTACAGCTGCTCAGATTAACCTGTGCTAGGCTTTGGGAGAAGTGCACCTGTTGCTGAGATACATAGTAATGGTCCAGTTAAGAATGATGGAGATTCAATCAAATTAAAACCCAGGTGCACATAACTAAAAACCTGCACCCCCCCCCCATGAATGGATTAAGTTAAATATTTGGAAAATACCGAGAGTTTTCAAGAAGGGGAGTCAGAGCAACTTTTCAGACTCTGGTGTTTGGAGCATCAGCTGCATTGAAAACTGGTTGGCAGTGTCTGAAAAGGCTCATTCATACACCATGTCACCTAAAAACTCCCCTACTATTTACAAAGAAAAGGTTTAAAATGTGCACCAAATATATATTTGCCTTTTGGGGACTGGTTTGTTTCACTAAGCATAATGGTTTCCAGTTGCATCCATTTTGCTGCAAAAGACAGGATTTCATTCTTTTTTTGTGGCTGGGTAGTATCATATGTTTTCTCTGATAATGGCAGTTAATATAGAATGCAAAAAAATTTTGAGTAATGAAACGGATATCTTGTGTTATGATTGTTGTTTTTGGCCCTTGTTATACCCCTGTGGAACTGTGGCTTTCCTACTTTTTACTTGTTGAATACTATGGTTAATGGTGAATTAAGCCTCTGATTATAGAGTACATTGAAATTATGTATATGCAAAAATTAAAGAAAACAAAAGAAAGGAAGCAGGAGGATTGACAGAGGGAGGGGAAAGGATGGAAGTACGTTTATCTTCTTCGAAATGTACCTATGAAATACATGAAATCTGTTCTCTGTATATTACCAACATTTTCAAAAAAGGTGCACCAAAACAAAACTGCCCCCAAAAGACTGAAAATGCTTATAGCATATTCTTAATCAAACAGGAAATAGTCTAAGTGTTCAGCAAAAGTACTATAGACAAACATACATTATTTTAAAAGCCATAAAGCGACAAGAAAATATGAACTATGATAGAGCATGTGTGACATAAACATAATGTTGCACAAAATACATAGACACAAAAGAGCACATTCTGTTTTACTCTGTTCATTTAACATTAAAAACAGGCAATGCCAATCTATGATTTCAGAAATAACAATAGTGGTCACCCTTGGGGAAAGGGGTTGAGGCAGTCTTGGTAATGTTTTGGTTCGCAATTCTTGCCCCCTGGGCCTGGTTATCTAGGTGGGATTGCACCGTGTAATTTCATCAGAGGCATCTCTATGGTGTGGGCACTCCTCTGTCTTAATATTATACCCCAATTAGAAATTTATTTTAAACTTAGTTTTTCAACACTAGTTAATAAAGACTGGCTATGTGCAAGTCTCTTTTGCTAGGTGTTAGGATACAAAGTTATTATTTGTTACTAATGAATGATTCATATAGTGAATATTCTTGAAGACTTAAAATGTATCAAGTCTTTGCCTTTCCTGGGTGCTATGATACAAAACTAAAAAATCAACCAACCAACCAACCAGGCATTACCCTTATGTTATGAGTGTTTTGTTTTTGTGAAAACAATAGTGAAGATAAAAATGACAATGATGTTGAGATCAATGGTGTCCTTTGATGATCTGCTAATTTCAAATAGAATATATAGGTTAAGGAAGACATATTTTAAGAGCAGTGTGCTCGAGAGCTTTTAGAGAGCTTTTAGGGATCCCTATACCATGCTATTTCAATGGATTACCTTATATCTTAGGGGTTTCTTTTATACATATACCAAAACTGGAAAACAGGGACAGACATCTGGTGTGCTGGATAGGATACTTCTTGGGATGCCCACAGTCCATATATGAGTACATGAGTCTGAGTCCTAGTTCTATTTCCAATTTCAGCTTTCTGCTATTATGCACCCTGGGAAATAGCAGGTCATGGCTCAATTAGTTAGGTGTCTGTCACCCAAGTGGGAGACCCTGACTGATTTCTCAACTCCTAGATTCAGCTGGGCCCAACTCTGGCTGCTGCAGGCATTGGGGCGTGAACCAGTGAGTAGGAGATCTCTCTCTATCTATCTCTTTGCCTTTTAAATAAAAGTCAATAAAATACAACAAAAATAATAAACAAAATTTAAAAAGAAAACACAAACTTCACAGAAAAATAAAATAACCTTTATAATCAGCTAAATGAAAAATAAATAAAATAACCTTTATAATCTGCTAATGAAAAACAAGTCACTGCATTGAGGAGGTTAGCAGGGAACAGTACATAGAGAGTAATACCTTCTAATCTATGGAAAGCTGTAGACTTTCATACCCATGGGATGGCTGACATGGCTATTCCCAGACACATTGAATACTGGAATTTGCTTTCATTTCTGCCTGTACATTCTTAGCTGGTGTCCTGTTATTATTTTGCTAAGAACGGGTATGATTTCTTGTTAATGATGTCCACTGAACATATACATTAGTCTCTGTTCACTGTCAATATACCACAAAATCCATATTAAAGGAACTTGTTCCCAAACAACAATAATGTGGATGGAAGGCATTACTCCAGAAAGACAAAGAACACGGGAGAGGATGCCTGTAGCAAATGGAACATAATTGTACATGCATGTGTTAACCACACTCATCAACTTCAGGAAGCTGAATATTAAGTGGTCAAGGGACAATAACAAAAATAGCTCCATTTACACCACAGAATAGATAGAACATTCTGGAATTTGTAGCACCAAGTATCTCTGAAAATGTGGCTGAAAATGAAGCCAAAAATACTGGAGCACTTATCAAAAGTATGTTCAAGGATTTCTTAGGCCCTCAGCTCCTCTCCCTAAGTCAACATATCTAAGTGACTATCACACCTGCTCTTACAGGTAGTTGAAGGTTTATCATCTGGAGAGGGTTACAGAAGGCTCTGTGGTTTAGAGAACACACAGTATTCTTAAGTATGGTGACATCATAATGAAAACGTGGGTTAAGTAAAAGTTTACACACTGAAAAATAATAAAATCTGGTAGCTGAAACAATCTATTCTGTTACAATTTGGTAGGATAAAAATCCAAAATGGGTCTCACTGGGCTAACATTAAGGTGACAGGTGTCAGCAGAGCTGCATTCCCAGGGGAGGATCTCTTCCTGCCATTTTCAGGTTCTGGAGGCCACTCCTATCCCTTGGGTGAATCCTTTCCTACACTTTCAATGCTGGCAGCATTGCTTCTCTCCATGCCTTGCCACTGTAGTCACATCTTCCTCTCTTTCTCATCTCCTCTTCCAACCTTACCAGCTACCCAGTTAGCACAGGAAAATCTTATAATCACATCTGCTAAGTTTCTTTTGCAATGTAAAGTTCCCCATTTACAGATTCTGGAGTTTAGGACATAGACAACCACTATAAGGGACTTCTTTCAGGTTCCCAGAATACTGCTGTTAGAATTACTGGTTTCACATGATTCTCACATACCAAAGGTACAGACTTGAAGACTAGAGTAGTCCCAGATGCACACTAGTCACCCTCTACATATCTCACATCACCAATTTCCTTGCCCATCTCCCTTCATAGGACATTTCATTTCTACTGCAGTTCACTGCCAAACTAATCCAAAGCATTGTCCGTATTGGCTATCCCCACTGCTTTTCCTCCCCTTCCCCACTTTTTATTACCTCTTGGACTCAATTTAATGGTGTTTTATTACCATTCCAGAAAACCCCTTTATCAAGATTATCAACTGACACCCCATAGTCAAACTCATGGTCAATTCTTATCTCAGGAACACCAGAAGCATTTGAAAGGATTACTTTATGTATCTTGACAATCTCTCTCTCTCTCTCTCATTTGTTTTCTTATTTGCCTTACTCCTAAGTTTACTGGCTTTTTCAAAGTCCCCTTTTAGTATCTTTCTCTTTGCTCTAATCTGTGAGTACCAGAGTTCTCTAGGGCTCAATTTCCTATGAAGATAAAGAAAATATATAAGCTGATGATATCCAAATATATATTGTCAATCTCCCCTGAACTTCAGACTGCAATATTTAAATTGGAATGTTAATATCTCAAATCAAGCATGTTCAAGAGCTAACTTGTAATTTTCTCTCAAATATTTTTCTATTATTTCCTAACTCAACAAATAACATCTCCACCAGTGCTCAGGCCATCAAAACTAACAAACATCTTTGATGCCTCTGTTTCTCCCTTCTCTGTGATCAGCTTAGCAACAGATCAACAGATCTTTTGGCATTACCTTCAACATATGTTCCAAATTTCAAACTCTTTAAACTTTACTTTTATTAAATGCAGTCCAACCATCCACTTCTTTCATATAGAATTCTGCAATGGCTTCAAACATGCATCCCTGCTCCTGTTATACTATACCTCAAAGTACCTTCTCTAAATCAGACAGTAAAGTCCTTTTCAAATATCAGCAATAACATGGCATTCCTCCTACCTCCAACTTAAATCTTTCATAGCTTCTCATTGCAATTAGAAAACAGTATAAAACAATATCTTAAGCTTTTACTATTAGAACACAAAACATGATTTGAATTAATGGGACATTTTTCATTCTTTCAACAAGCCAAGATGATTCCTTCTTTGGATACTCTCTCCCCCTGGAATTCTCACTTTTTTCAGATTTCTGCTCAAATATTTTTCCAAACTCTTCAAAATAGTACCCCACATCACCCCAACCTAATTTTATTTTTCTCCTTTGTCATTTCATAGCAAAGACATTCTATTATGTTAATAGGTTTATTTTTTCTCTGCTGTTTCATTGTAATTTTTGGAGGAAAAAAACCCTTTTTTATTCACTATTTTATCTCCTGTGCCTAGAATGGTGTATGATACATAGAAGACAAATATTCCTCAATAATTTTTTTCAAAGATTTATTTTATTTATTAGAAGTGTAGAGTTACAGAGAGGAGGAGAGAGAATAAGAGGGAGAGAGAGAGACAGAGAGAGACAATGACTGAGACAGAAGTCTTATATCTCCTGGGTCACTCCCCAAATAGCTACAATGGCCAGGTATGTGCCAGGCCGAAGCCAGGAGCCAAGAGCTTTGGACTTGGACCATCTTCCACTCTTTCCTAAGTGCATTAGCAGGGAACTAGATTGGAAGTGGAGCAGCTGGAACTTGACCTGGCACCCATACGGGATGCCAGTGTTGCAAGCAGCAGTTAACCCGTTACATCACAACACCAGCCCCTCATCGTTAGTTTTTAAATTCCCAAATGATTGTACTCATAGATGAGTCATGAAGATGCCTTCCAGTCCAGAGGTTTTAAGAAAGAGAACAGAGAAGCTGTTTTATTCACTCTAACAAAGTCTTATTAAGATCACTAATACTTTGGAATACAACGTGCCTAAGAGCTCTGTTTTACACATCTAGAAGTAGCCGTGCACATAGAGCATGTTACTAAGTATGCATCAGTCTGCCGTGGCTGCTATAACAAAATACCACAGACCACGTGGCTTCAAAAACAAACACTTATTCTCCCCAGTCTGTAGGCTAGCAGTCTAAGATCAAGGTGTCGGCATGGTTGATTCTTCTAAGACCATCTTCCTTTATTTCTAAGAGGCTGACTTCTCACCAACCCTCACATGATTTTTCCTCTGTGTGTATCTATGTCCCAATCTCCTCTTCTGAGAAAGGCAGCACTCTGATTGGATTGGGACCCATGCCAATGACCTCATTTTAGCTCAGCTTCTCCAAATATAGTGACATTCTGAGGTGCTTGAAGTAATGTCAACACATGTATTTTGGAGGTAGCACAATTCAATCCATTATAGACTAGCATTTGCTAGTTGCTTTTTTCATTTTATCATATTCTGTGGGGTTTTGTTGAAAGGTTACGGCTGAGAGATTCAGCTGAAAGTTGTGCTTTTTCAAGTGCTTAGTAGTGAATGAACCTGTCACAATTCTTTTGGTAACAATGTGTTCTCTTAAAGCTATTAATTTTGTCCTGCTTTTCCTTTAACACTGTTAAGAGGCCAGAATGAGATGAGACAAAGAGCCACCAGCTCATTTACATATTAATTTATAAGCTAAGCTTGTCAGTCATTTTTCAAAATCATGAGATTAAGATACAGAAAACAGAGGATTTCTTTAAGAAGATTTATCTACATATCCATCTCTATTAATTTATTTGAAATTGATAATAACACAGAGAGAAGGAGAAACACAGAGTGGGAGATATTCTACCTGTTCATTTACTAATGTACATAATAGCCAGGGCTATGCCAGGCTGAAGTCTAGAGCTAGGAACTCCATCCTGGTCTTCTACATGGGTAGCATGAATCAAAAAGTACATGGGTGATCACCTGCTGCCTTTCTTTAGTTGGAAGTTGGACTGAAAGCAATGGAGATTAGACTCCAATCAGGCACCCTAATATAGCTTGCAGACATCCTAAGCAGTGGCTTAACCCACTATGCCACCATGCCCACACCAGATTTTTTTTAAAAAAAGAAGTAAACTCTCCATATTTGCAACAGCTTGAACCCAAGGGTCCCCAGGGGGAAAGGTAATGGGAAAAGGGAAAGAAAGACTGTCCTTACTTCCTGAATCCAGTCATTTGCTTGGGTTGGTGATGACAAGCACCTTTATGACTTTGTTGGCAGCCATCTCTTCCTACATGCCTGCCAGTGATTTCAACATTGAAATATTAAAAAATTATGGGTATATACATAGTTACTGAATAAAATAAATCTCACTTATGTTGAATCATGATCAATGCACATAAATTGTCTGTGCCTTGGCAATTCTCTTCAACCTAATAATTAACTCAATGGGCAGCTGTCTGGCACAATGATACACCATGTTATGCAATTTTTTAAAAAATATTTATTTATTTATTTGAAAGTCAGAGTTACACAGATAGAGGAGAGGCAGAGAGAGAGAGAGAGAGGTCTTCCATCCGATGGTTCACTCTCCAGATAGCCGCAACGGCCAGAGCTGCGCCGATCCGAAGCCAGGTGCCAGGAGCTTCTTCTGGGTCTCCCACATGGGTGCAGGGACCCATGGACTTGGGCCATCTTCTACTGCTATTCCGGGCCATAGCAGAGAGCTGGACAAGAAGTGGAGCAGCTGGGTCTCGAACCGGCGCCCATATGGGATGACAGCGCTTCAGGCCAGGGTGTTAACCTGCTGTGCCACAGCACCAGCCCCAGATGTTATGCAATTTTTAACAATATAGATCCTTATTTAATTTTCTAAAAAGCTATTGAAAGGCAGAGACAGAGAGAGATCTTCCATCCTCTGGTTCACTATCCAAATGTCTACAACAGTCAGGACTGGGCCTAGCTGAAGTCAAAGGCCAGGAACTCGATTCAGGCCTCACATGTGGGTAGCAGGGACCCATCACCTGCTGTGTCCCAGGAAGGACACTAGCAGGAAGTTGGAGCAGACAGTAAAGCCAGGACTCAAACCTAGGTCCTCTAATATTGGATGTGGGTATCCCAAGCAGTGGCTTAACTGCTAATGCCAAATGCCTGTCCCCATATTCTTGTAATTGAATAGCTGACTCTACTGTGTTTTACTCCTTATTGTACATACTAATCATTTGTAAACAGACCTCTTGACAAATTTAAGCCATGAGTTGCCTTTGATTTTTATTGCTGTATGCATATTAACAAAGCAAAAGCTTTATAAGTGTTCTCTCATGAATAACATTATTCACTAATTTTTCAGAGATGTGTTCTTTTTATATTCAAATGTATAGCTACTATTCGTAGGTATCTTTGCTAGCTGCCAAGGTTAATAGTGGGAGTTAAATTGGAGCTTTTCAATGTAGTGACATCATGATACTGTCCTCAACTATACTAACCATTGTGCAAAAAAGAGAACTGGCAACACATTCACAATCTCCTAATCTATTAACAGTGACAGCCATGAGTCAGTGGGAGGACCAGGGTGCAGGAATGGTAAGGATTATAGCTGTGTTGCAGAGGGATTTGCACTAAGTACATGGCAGGTCATGGTACACAGGCATCCATAGAAGCTTCAAAGATAAAAAACATCCAGAGTTTTTGTGATGAAAATCAGCATCCTTGATAAGCAATCGTTTGTTTTTACTCAAGAAGTCTAAGTTCTACTGTCTCCCTCCCCCAGACCTCTCCATTTTCACACACCTGATTTTCCTAGATTGTGTTCCTCCTCCACAGCGCAGGGATCTCAGCTCACTGTTGATTTTGCATGGAGACCAGTGTTCTACAACCCAGGAATACTGATTGCACTCACTGTAACATGGGACTGCCTCATGCACCTGTCAAGAATGGGAAAGGAAAAAAATTATATGGAACTATCTATGTTATAGAAAAATAGCCTACCTTTTAGTAATGCCTGCTGAACATAGGCTGGGAAACTACACTTTGGCTCAAGCAGCCAAATTACATTCCAAAAAAGCAAGATATATTTGGCTTCTCTGAATTTATTGACTTGCCTAAAGAAGCATACAGAGGAAATCAACTAAAATACAAAGGTATAACTTCACAGAAGAGAACAAAGGACAGTCATTTCCTAGCACTGCGAATAGGAATTCCATTATCATTTCATTTCCTCAAAGAGCTCACACAGCCTCTATTAGGTGGTCCAGCTCTCAATTATATGGTATACTGTATTCTCAGATGTACTTTAACATGTCAATTGAAACAAATGTATATAAGGAAAATTTACTCTTGATAAGGGGTTCTTAGAATGCATAAGAAAAGTGGTATTATTGGTACAGGAAATTTCTTCTTATGCCCCCAAATGATCAATGCTAACAGGCAATCACTTAGCCTCTTGGGCACTGTGGCTTCATACAAATTTAGCTATTTGTAAGATGTTTACAGAGCATAGCTAAGACAGACACACACACAAACACACACACACACAAACACATACACACTATAAGAAAAAATACTGCTACTCACTCTTAGTGGCTTGGCATAATTACTACGGATATTTACTGTTTTGTCATAAAAACAGTGAGTGTAATAAAATAACTCTTAAGTTACTTCCTTTGCATTTGCTCAAGGTGACTTTTTCCCTGAAATTGTGTCCCAATGGGCAGCCAACTGAGGTTTGTCTGACTCTGAAAATGCATCTAAAAGGCATTGCTTCCGTATTTGAAACATAGCAGTCTTTCCAGGAAATTACAAGGTAACCACTTCACTGCCCCCCAGAACGCAAAGAGGGCTCTGGTACAGGCATGTTGATGAAGAGTGTCGCAACCTAGTCTCAATACAGTAATTAATGCTTTTCCTCTTAAATAAGATTTTGCCAGTCCTTTCCTCCTCTTGCTTTTCTAATTTCAGGAAATTGTAAATGATGACTAGGCAGTGCTACCCAAACACAACCACTGTTTGTTAAGTTTCCCCACTAAATGCAAGGGAAAGCACTGTGTAATGGGATAATCAGAAAACAAAATTGGAGCACTGTCAGCATGTTAGCTGGAAATCAAATGAGAAAAGGTGATTTGTGAGACTGCTTCGCAGGAATCACAACTAAGGTCAGAAACTATTTTTAACCACAGGGTTCTGTTTGGCTCTCTCACATGCAGCTCACAAAGAGAAGAGAAATCACAAAGTAATGAATCCATGAGGCTGAATCAAAGGAGAAGGGAAAATAGAGCTGGAAATGAGTGTGAGGAAAGTAAGGAATTAAGTAATAAAAGAATCACATTTCACGCAGTGAATGCTGACAGGAATGGAGTGAAAGGGTCAGAAGCGGTTCCTACATTAGAGCAAGGAGGTGAGAACTTGTAACTGAGAAAAGTCTGTCAAAAAAAAAAAAATCCTGATGGAATATTTAGTGATAGGAGAAGAATCAGCAAAACTGAGAAGGCATGCGCCCAAGTGAACAGGTGCCAGGAACCCGAGCTGGTGATGGCCGAGGGTTCAGCTGACAATGATGCTTTCACTGAACTTAAGGATTTATTCTATAAGCTCTTCAATGTATATCAATGTACATAAGGTTAAAAGAAGCTTTTTGGTTTTCATATGGGATACAAGAAGGCATCTGCCAAATTACTTCATGTAAACAGAGGGTGGATAAAAAATAAGGTTGATTTCCCCCCAGATTTCATGAATGAATTGATGAGCAAATAGATGGGTTATCTTACCAGAATGGACCAATTTATTTTTTAAATTTTCAATATTCAGCAAAGCATATGATTCTATGCTACCTCCCACATAAATCCCCAAGGTCAGACTGAAAATGAAAAATCATTTAGTTGTATGCAACTTATTTATTTGAAAGGCAGAGTTACAGAGAGAGGGAGGAGGAGAGAGAGAGAGAGGGAGAGAGAGGGAGGGAGAGGGAGAGAGAGAGAGAGAGGTCTTCCATTGGCTGGTTCACTCCTTAAATGGCTGCAGTGGTCAGGCTGAGCCAGGAGCCAGGAGCTTCTTCTGGGTCTTCCACAACAATGCAGGGGTCCAAGCACTTGGGCCATCCTCTGCTACTTTCCCAGGTGCATTACCATTGAACTGGATGGGAAGTGGAGCAGACAGGACTCTCACAAGCGCCCAGAGGGGATGCCAGTACTGCAGGCAGTGGCTTTACCTGCTAAGCCACAGCGCTGGCTCTCAATTAATTTCGTGTCCTCTCCTTGCTTTAGCTCTTATTCTCCCTATAGACTTAATAATCATGTATACTTTTACCTTAAATAATACTGGAAGAATATGCTTAGAGAAGCACACCAGGTACTTGCCACACCTAAATATGATTGTGCTCCTAACCGAAGTCAGGTCTGATTAAACATCTACTGGAAAGAACTTGCCAGTCTTAGGGAGGGGGCTCTGTTCACAACGTCTACAGTTCACGAGATATAGGTGAGGCTCTTAATAAGTATTTGGTGAATTAATTTCTGTAGGGACCCATGTTGCTAAACGGCTCTCATATAATTCTCTAGAGAAAACAGGCCCACTCAACAGAACAAGTAAGGGGTATTTTACAAAGTAAAAAAGAAAATAAGAGGGAAGAAAATGAAAACCTTTTTTTGTTTTTGCGCTATTGAACTTGGGTAGAGAATAGCAAATCACAATAACATAAAAAGGCTCTGCTTGCTGATTTTGTAGGAAGGCAAGTCTATCCCTTAAGAACAGTGAGAACTGTTTCCTTAAAGCCCTTGTCCACCAGGCCAGGAATTTTATCGAGAATATCAAAAATATTCTCAAAAGGCAAAAAAGCAGCAGGGCATGAAAGCATAAAAATTAACTACCCAGGTGCCCAATTTCTTCTCCTGTCAGTCTTTTATGTTCCAGCTATTTCATATTGCTGTTTAGTTGGTACTTATTATATTATTATAGTTTTATAATGGAAATGTGTTATAGCATGGACTATATCAGGAAATCATATGAAAATGTTCTGAAGGAGAGAAATGAGCCATGGGAAAATTAAATGAAAATCATTTCTAAATGGCACAAATTAGGAAGAAAATTACAGGGTTTAATAGGGCCATGGATGCTAAAAAATGCCACAAAAATGTAAATCCTCTGAGAAAGGTAACATTTCATTCTCCTGGTACTGCATTCTATTTATTACTTTTTCATTGGGGAATTGTGTTTTTATACTTTTGCCAGTTCCAGAATCATATCACAAACTAATTCATTGAGTCTGTCCTCGAATATTTGTTAAATAAGCCTCTCCACTCATAGTAATTCATCAATTTAATTAAGCACCGCTTTCTGATCCGTTTCTCCAGCTGCAGACTGACTTCCCAGGCATGATGTTGGAAGCAGAGTCTCACTGGGGCTCAGTGATTGTTATTATTGCATATCAAAGCTCCTAGGGCTCATGGGCTCAGATAAAATAAATCCATACAAGGTTGACCACAAAGCAACAAAAACAAAGAACTCTCACAGTTTCTGATTTTCAGTACCAATAAATCTTTGCCTTGGTGAACCTGCCAGTCAAGACCCAGAGACAAGTTTCCAGGCATGAGATCTCCATGGTGGGCATAGTCACGACTCTGCAAAACTTGGAAATCAGTTGGGAACCCATCCGGGAAGGAGACCCTGGCAAGGCAGAGACAGGGTCTGTCCAATGGCAATGTAAGAAGAAACAGTCTCCAGAAGTGGTAAGATTAACAAAACACTTGGAGCGCCTGTCTCCAGAAACAAGTTGGCAGCATAAGTTGTACTAATTTGCATCTGAGCAGTTCCAGCATGTTCACCCCTCAGTTCAAATAACTTCCCTTTAGCCTTCCTCTACGTCCATACTCTCATTCTTTATCCGTGGCTCACAATTTCCCTCCAGAGAACTTTCCAGGACTGCACTCTCCCTCAGCTTACCAAATTCTGTCTCACAATGTCTTTTTTTCCTAGAGAGAGCGCCATTTTTTAAAAAACGACTTATTTATTTATTTATTTAAAAGGCAGAGTTACAGAGAAGCAGATGTGTGTGGGGGGGGGAGAGAAAGAGAGAGAGAGAGAGAGAGTCTCCATCTGCTGTTCACTCCCCAATTGGCACATGCTCACTCAGACTTACTCCCATGGTTGAGCTAGAAATGTGTCATGATCTTTACTTACAGATAAAAATAACTAAAACTGGAGATGCTAATGGGTGAGCTGAGGTTCAAACTGAGATTATCTGGGAATCCCACTCTGGGGATGCCAGTGATGCATGGACTCTCTTTAGCTTGATCAAGCATATTACCATATTTCTTCAAGGATGAGGAAAATGCTAATAAAGTCAGCTCACCACATCTGCAGTTTCTGCATTTCATATGGGCAGGCAGGTAGGATTAAATTAATTAGATTTGTGAACTGGAGACCACACCCCCCCCCCTTGCCCCTGAGTGACCTCATGCCCTCTACATGATTCTACCTGTATGTGATCAGACTATGTAACCACTCTTGTTTTGGGAGCAAATAAAAGGAACGGGTTCCAGGGCCTCCCTGTTTTGCCCCCGAGCTATTTTGTGGCCATTCCTGCCCACCTTCCTAGCTCCAACCTGTGAGCTCTCACAGATGGTTTGGAAGTTCACCTTTCTGGACCTCCTCTCCCTTAAATAAAGCCCTTATGTTCCTGTGTGTTTCTCTCATTCTCTAAATAAATGTTAAACCTTACCATGGCACCTGCTTCATTTGAGCCTCTATTTAGAATTCTTGTCTAAACTGATGGCAAGGGCCCTTTAAATATTAATTTTAAAATAATTAATAATTTTAAAATATGCTCCCAGATATCACATGCATAGATTCAATCAAATGCGGGTCAAAAATATGGTTAAAACATTTGTTTCTGTCCTAAACTTGTACAGACTTTTCTTGTCATCCTTCCTAA